TTATTTTATTCTATATGAGATGAATGTATTTCCTAAACAATAAATAAATATTGTTTCATATGATAAATGCTAAAAAATGGATTGTTTATCAAAAATAGATTGTTTATCAAATATTGGATTGATAAAAATAGATTGTTTGTCAAATATTGGATTGCTAAAAATAGATTATTTATCAAATATTGGATTGATAAAAATGGATTGTTTATCAAATATTGGATTGCTAAAAATAGATTGTTTATCAAATATTGGATTGCCAAAAATAGATTGTTCATGAAATATTGGATGAAAATTTTAAATCAACAAATGTAAAAGTTAACGGAAAATTTCCATTCATTTAATAAATATGATAAATTTGGTTATAAAAGTAAACAAACAATTTATCAATTCAATCATTTCATTATTAAAATCAGTCAATAACTTTGTAAAAAAAGTAATCGGCAATTAACTCTAGCTATTGTTATCAGTAGTGAAAGATGATAAACTAGCAAATTCATAAACAAATAATTAATAATTAACCTTAGCTAATTAATAATACAAATAACAAATTAATCAATTTGACCGTGAAATCATTTGGTCGAAATGAATTGATATAAGTAATAGAAGATAAGTTAACAAATTTGCAAACAAATTAATAATTAGCGAGTTGTTAAGTTGTGTTAATAATTGATAATAAAAATTAGGCAATTAATTTTAGCTGTTATTATTAGTTAGGCAAATTTTTAAAGAATTGCTTATTTTAAAATTAAATTTAAACCCAAGCGGTAATTTTATATTATTGGCGGTAATTGTACATAGCAAAAAAAAAAAATTCAACATTTATGATTTACATTTATTATCAAAATGGATATTTTGCAAATTCTTATAAATTTGTAAAAGCTTCTTTAAAAAAATAAAAAAAGGAAAAAGAAATTTTAAATTTCATCCTAAATTTAAATATTCAAAAATTTGAAAAATTGCTAAATCCAACATAGAAATGCGTGAATAAATGTAAAAAAAATACATATATAGATTTAAACATAAACAAATACTAATATAATTACTGTAATTTTATTTTCTTTCTTTGCTTTTTTTTCAAATATTGATTAACACTTTTAATTTTTAATTACTTAAAAGAAAAAGGCGAAATAAACAAAGCTTAAATTTTAAAAAAAAAAGTAATTATATTGAAAATAAAAAAGAATTAATTTTTTTTTCAAATATTAATTAACAGTTTTGATTTTTAATTACTTAAAGGAAAGAAAAATAAACAAAGCTCAAACAAAAAAAAAGGTGGTCATATTGAAAATAAAAAAAAAATTTAAATTTAATTTTTTTCCTTTTCGTTGTTCTTTTTAATGTTTGATTTTTATCTTATCTTAATTAATTAAATTACAGATGGCTTTGTTTACATCCCAAATATCGAACCATTTTTTATCAAACAATTGAGCAACTCTTTTATGGTAGTGGTCCGATGGCAATATGTGAACGACATTATATTGCATTAATGGTAAATTTGTTTAATATAAATACTATTCCATACAAATAATTATTTTATTGATAATTTTGTAAAAGAAAAAAAAACAAGTTAAATTATCAGTGATATATCATTCATATCAGTAATATATCATTCATATCAGTGATATAATCAATTTTTCATATTTTGAATTGGTCATTTTTGCCATTTACTTTATTTTTTTTCTCTTGAAAAAATTATTTTAAAATATTCTAACATTTGGAATGATTTAGACTTTTGAATTAGAATTAAATTTACTTAAAATTCAAAACTGTATTCAAAGAATTAGAATAATGAGAATTAGAATAGCGATACGTTTAGAATTTACTTAGAATTAAAGTAATAAGAATTAGGATAGGAATACATTTAGAATTTAGAAATAGGAGTAATTAAAATTAAAATAGAGATATGTTTGAAATTTGCTTAAAATTTAGAACTAGAATTAAAATAATGAAGATTAAAATAGAGATAAGTTTAGAATTTACGTAAATTTTAGAAATAGAATTGGAATAAGCAGAATTAGAATAGAAATGCATTCTGCATTTACTAAGAATTTAGAAATAGAATTGTAGTAATTGAAGCGGGAATAGAAATGCATTTGGAATTTACTTAGAATTTAGAAATAGAATTAGAGTAATTAGAATTGAAATAGAAATATATTTAAAATTTATTGTAGAATAAGTAGAAATTTAGCAGAAATATATAAAATTTTTATGATTTATTACAAGTATTACTTATTAAATTTACAAATATCATTATACAATTTCTTTTTTTTTTTTTTGTAGGCTGCAAGTAGACATCGATGTCATTTCTTGATGGATTTACATGGACGAGAATTTGAACGTACCGGTGGAAAGCATGAATGGTTAAATGGTTTATCATATGCTTCGGAAAAGATTCAAAATCTTGATGTATTAAACGCTGTCTTAGCTCATCAACCGTGGTCAGCTAATGTTGACCATTTGACCGTATGTTTGTTCATTTAGTTAATTTAAAATTGTTTATACAAATATAAAGACACATACACACATACATATACACACATACACAGATACACATACTTATTGCAGTTTAATTAAATTAATATCTTTTACAAATGAGTTGTTTATAAATTTTAAGAAATCTAAATACATTATATTTTATACCAATCAAATTATTCTAATTAATGCATGTTGCATTAATTAGATACACACACACACACACACAACATGTATAATATACACACACACACACACACACACACACACACGCACACATACACATAACACATACATAATTAGTGCAATTTGATTAAATTAATATCTTTTACAGACGAATTGTTTGTAAATTTTAGGAAATCTAATTAATAAAATTTTGCACTAATTAAATTATTCTAATGAATGCATGTTATATTAATTAAATTATTGAAAATATTGCAAAATGAATATGTTAAACAGTAATATATAAGCATAAATAAAGGTAAATAATTAATTATATAAAATTAATTTTACAGATGCTTACAAAATGTTGTTCGCCAACAAATTGGTGTTTATCCGAATTAGTTCAAGCATCAGTCATACTAGCACAAACTCATGTATTATGCTCATTTGTCCTGGGAAATGGTACCGTACATCCAAATGGACATACAGTGTTAGTATTATGATTGTAATCTATCGTAATCATTTGTTTTTAATTTTATATACCATTTTGCAGGTTGTTTACAATAATATAACATTGTTAATATTTTATTATTATAATGGTACAACTGTGATACATCTTTATTATTATTATGACGATACAACTATAACATATCTTTATTATTATAATGATACAGCTATAATATACCTTTATTATTATTATAACATTACAAATATATTATTATTATTATTATTATTATTATTATTATTATTATTATTATTATTATCATTATCATTATTATTATTATTATTATTATTATTATTATTATTATTATTATTATTATTATTATTATTATTATTATTATTATTATTATTATTG